CTCTCTTCTCCACCTGTCTTTTTCTCTACTCTCTCTTCTCCATCCTGCTCTTCTCCATCCTGTCTCTTCTCTACCTCTCTTTTCCCATCCTGTCCTCTTTTCCACCCCGTCTCTTCTCTACTCTCTCTTCTCCTCCTGCTTTTTTCCTCTCCTTCTCCATCCTTCTTTTCTCCACCTGTCTCTTCTCTACTCTCTCTTCTCAATCCTGTCTCTCCTCCATCCTTCCTTCTCTACCCCTCTTCTCCATCCGTCTTTCCTACTTCCCCTTCTCCTCCGTCTCTTTTTCCACCTTCTTTTTTCTTACCCCCTTTTTTTCTCCAGCCTGTCTCTTCTCCCTCCTGTCTTTTTTCTACTCTCTCTTTTCCAGCCCCGTCTCTTCTCCATCCTGTCTTTTCTCTACTCTCTCTTCCCATCCTTCTCTTTTCTACTCCCCTCTTTTCTCCATCCATAACAAAAAAATTTTTTATCTATTTTTATTTAATTACATTATTTTTTCTCGTGTATAAAATTCTTTTTTTCCTCTTTTTAAAAAAATTAAATATCTAGGTTAGTAGTCAACTTTTTTCGGGGGCCCCCCTTCAAAGGTGGCCTTTTCACACCTATGTGCTAATGACCTTTACCCTAAGATAATGACCCTTTCCGGGGCCCTGTCCCCTTTTCACACCTATGTGCAAGACCGATCCTCCGAGACACCCACCCTTGACCCCCCCCAACCAATACCCCCGCCACGACCCCCCCCCCTTCGCGACCCCCCCCCCTCGCCCGCGCCCGCGCCCCGCCCGCGCCCCCCCGCCCGCGCGCCCGCCCGCCCGCCGGGCCCCCCCGCGCGCCCGCCCGCGCCTTCTGCACGCCTTTTGCAGCGTCGTCCATCGCCCCCCCCGCCCCGAATTTTTTTTTTTATGATCTCCTCGGGTCAAGTTTTTGGTTCCCCCCCCATGGGGTTTTCGAAATTTCCACCCTTGGATCAAAGGTTTTTGGATTTTTTTCCATCTCCTTGGATCAAGGTTTTTGGGTTTTCCCCCCTCCCCCGGTCAAGTTTTTTGGTTTTCCCCCCTTGGGGGTTTTTTGAAAGTCTCCATCTCCTCGGGTCAAGTTTTTTGGATTTTCCCCCCACTATGGGGTTTTCGAAATTCCCTCGATCAAGTTTTGAATCCCCCCTGCTGGGTATAAGCATTCAAATGAACTCCTCCTATGTGGGCATGCTTACTACAAGGTCTAAAAGTTTCCCTCTCATTAAGTCAAATGAACTAAAAGTTTCCCCTTATTATTTAAAAAGACTAAAACCTTCCTCTCATTAATTCAAATGAATCTAAAAGTTTTCCTCTCATTAAGTTAATGAACTAAAAAGAAGGCGTTTACTCGGGGCGGTCAGTATTCCACTCATTAAGTAAATCTGAAATAAAAAGGAACCGCGCACACAGGATGAATCGTGTCTACACTTTTAACCCACCCTCCCAAACCCTCACACTCCAACCAAACACCTCACAATTTTCACTCATAACCCCCAATTTTTTCTCGTTTTTAACCCTTTTCGTTCATTAAAGTTAATAAGGGGGCACAATGCATCAGAAAGTCAACCGCATCCCACTTTCCCGTTAATTCCAACTAACTACACACAATTTTTAACATATACGAAAAAAAGTTAAATACGCACTTTTACCTTTGAACATCTCAAAAACACTCTCCATAAAATCATTTGACATCTCACAAAAAATTACCTTATCTACATTTCCAAACAACACTGATTACTACCAAAAACATCATTCTGAACACTGCCCCAAATTCACCTCTGATATACTCCCGAGAACACCTTCAATCAAGTCTCTGCACATCATTTGAACACCTTTCATAGTACTCCTCTTCAATCATTTTACCCTTCAAAGAAACTCCTTTGAATACTCACATAAACACCCTTGAACACCTCAAAACAAACACCTTCACAAAGCACTCTCAATAAGCATTCTGAACACCTTCATAATCGAAAACACCCTTGAACACCTTCAAAACAAACCCCTTGAAAACACTCTCCAAAACATCAACATTTGAACACACTCCAAACACCTTTGAACACCTTTGAAAAAACCCACATTTCCAAACAACACGAAACACTTCCAAAAAAACACAATTTTGAGTACTCCCCAATTACAACCGACTGATTACTTACTAAAACATCCGCTGAATTCAATCAGAACACACCTTCACACCTATCAAACACCTTGAACAAACCTTCAAACACTCTTGAACACCTTCAAAACACCTTTGAACATTTCCAAAACACTATTTGGTACTCCCATTACACCACTGAATACAACTAAAACACCGTTGAATTCAATCAAACACCCTTCAACACCTCAAAAACACCTTTGAAACAACCTTGAAAATACTCATCTCAATAAACACCCATGAACTCCTTGCAAGACTTAACACTCTTTGAATAACCTCATAACACCTTAGAACACCTTCAAAAACACCTGAAGCACCTTCAAAACACCTTTGAATAACCTCAAAACACCGTTTGGAACACTTCAAAACACCCTTGAACACCTTCAAAAACAACAGTTTGGAACACCTTTGAACACCTTTGAACATTTCCAGTTCCAAAACACTATTTGAGTACTCCCAATAAGATTTGACATCTCTAATTTATCTGCACTGTCATTAAATTACAACTGAATCCCTTCTCAGACTATGCATTTTTCTCGTTTTGTTACCCTTTCAGTACATTAAAGTTATTAAGAGTGGACACATACATCAGAAAAAAGTCACAAAAACTAACTACAAACACTTTACTTTGAACACCACCAAAAACGACTCTCGAATCATTTGAATACCACATAAACACACCTTGTACACCTCTTCAACACACCTTTGAAATATCGTTTTTAAACTATTTCATCACAACCCACTTATTCATCCTTTTCGGTAACCTCTAAATTCGACAACAACACCCACATAACCCCACGTCCAACAACACCCATGAACATTTCAAACCAACTATTTGAGTACTCTTCCCAATAACACCACAGATTACTCGAAAACACCGCTGAATTCATCACAAAAGCGCGCCCTTCAACACTTCAAACTGCCCTTGGAACGACCATTCAAAAACACTCATGAACACGTTTCAAAAACACCTTTGAACATTTTCCAATCAACACGAAACAAACGTTTATCCAAAAAAAACACAAATTTTGAGTACTCCGCTTGGCTTCCCAATATACAACCACTGAATACTACTAAAACACAAACCGCTGAATTCAATCAAAACCCCCTTCAAAACACCTTCAAAAACACCTTTGACACCTTCAAAACACCTTTGACACCTTCAAAACACTCTTGAAACACCTTCAGAAAACTCCTTCGAACATTCCAATCACACTGAAACACTTCCATACCCACTATTGCGACATGTTTTCAATTCAACACCGCCCCCTCCATTCTTTTTCCAATATATCATAACTTTTCAAATTCTATAATGTCTTTTTTAATATTCACACATTACCTTTATATTCAGTAAAATCTCCATATATCAAATTACAACCCGCCCCATACTCCTCTCCATCTCACTCCGCATTCCTTCTCATCCACTCACCCATCTCCCATCATGACCACTTCTGAACACACACATGTAACAAAAAAATCACATTCACATCCACAAATGCACTCAAATCCACTAAAATCACTATAACCAAGATATTCCACTCACACACCTCACCTTACCAACCTAACCTAACCTAACCAAACCTAACCTATCCTAACCTAACCTAACCTAACCTAACCTAACCTAACCTAACCTGTCCTAACCAACCAACCTAACCTAACCGAACCTGGCCCCTAACCTAAGTTAACCTAACCTAACCTTACCGAACCTACCCTAAGAACCTAACTATAACCATAACCTAACCTATACCTAACCTTAACCGAACCGACCCAAACCGTAACCTTAATCCTAACATAACCTACCCTAACCTA